CCCCCCTCCCCCCCCCCCCCGGCCTCCCCCCAACCCCTCATCTCTACGATGGCTGGTGGAGAGGGATACCCTCTTGCCCCATCCAATCCCTTTCCGCCGTTCAATCCGGCTGCGGCCCCTAAAAGGCAGAATGACGCCGCTGCGGATGAACCACCAAAATAAGGTAAAAGGACATCTAGACAGGAGCCACGCGTAACGGTATACACACAAACACAAAAACAACAATGGTGTCGTCGGAGGAACAACCCTTAACAGCAGAACGGGCACACATCCCGGATTACGAAACATCCCCAAGCACAAGAGCGCGAACTCGCACGCTGAAAAAGCGTCCTCGCCCGCTGAGATGCGGTGAGATTCACAATCGCAGAGCTAACCGCTCCGCATTCACTCCACTTCCCCTCCTATAACCCCCCCCCTCGCCCCCCCCCCCCCCCGTCACCCATCATCCCATGTCCAAACAAGAAAACCATTCATTGAAAGCGTGCCGAGGTCGATTGCCTCGTACATAGGAACATTCGAAGGTTGATCTCGCTGTTCACTCAATCATGCCAGCATCGACCCCTTCCTTGCACTCAACCAACGGCGGTGGCTCCATCGTGCACAGCGTGAAAGCGCAGCAGCAGGAACACTCTGGTGGAAGTCACTCCCTCCTATTGTACCCAAGTGCGACACAGCGACAGACCCTGCTCGATTCTCCTCCTCCTCCTCCCTCCTCCCCACCTCATTTACAGGCCCACAAAATAAAAATATCGGGACGTTAACAAGGTAAACACGATCCTCAAGGAACACAAGGGCGCCCTTGCAAGCGCGACAAGCAAGTGCGACAACCGTCTCCTAAGCTACGAACACTCCCGGACCCCCACTCCCACTCCCCCCAAAAGACGGCGCGAACACCCACCGTCTACGCAGCCGCCGACCCCCCCCCCCTCCCCCTCCCCGCCCGCGGCCCCGAAACCACCGCAACAAGCAAGTGGCATGACGTCATAGGGAGACGGAGGTGACAATGACGGCGGTATGCGACGAACGCTGCGTCCATGAACAGAGGAACAACATGAACCCCCCCCCCTCCCTCCCCGTTTATCCTTGGGTGTCACGGCGCTCAAGATGTCTAGCACGTCGAACTTGAAGTCGCCAAACACGCCCGCACGGCCGTTCGACGGGGCTCCCGCCGCCGCCGCCGGTGCATCCCAAAGCGACAACGCTGGAGCCCCCCCCGCCCCCCTCTGTACAAAGGCTGCTCGGAACAACCTTCTCGGAGCAGCAGCCGCTTCCCGCCGCAGTCGCCGCGGAGCGGACGCTCGCGGACGTCGCAGCACTGGCGCCGCCGCCGCCGCCGCCGCCGTCGCCGCTCGTTGTGGCATCCGTGCCGGCTCCGGCGGCAGCGGCGGCGTTCGATTTCGGCTTCGCGGTAGCTCTTCCCTTGTCCTTGCCACGACTCCGGCTCCTGCCTTTCCCAGGTCCGCCCTGAGCATCGCCCGCGGCCGCTGCCTTGCGGCCACCGCCCGCCGCCCCCTTCGCAGGCTTGCGGTTGTTGTTGTTCCCCGCGGCGGCGGCGGCGCCACGCTGCTTGAGGTGCCCGACCTGGTCTTCGTCTCGCGCCGGTGGCGCGGCGGCCGCGGAGGCCTGCGCCGACTGCGCGGGGTCTCCGAACTCGTGCGGGTTGCCGTCGTACACGAAGGTGCGCCCCGTGAGCCGCTCGTTGGCGGCCAGCATCGCCTAAAGAAGACGACGTTCAACACAATACGCGTGGAAGGACGGAAGCGACTGTTCGGTGAACCCGGCGCTACGAGTGGGAACCAAACAAAAACTGCGAGGTACACACACACCCGGACCAGCTTCTCCGAAAGAAAAAAAAAAGGCGGGAGAGAACCAACCAACATGGGACATGGGAACCAAAAGGCCATATGGGATCGTAATCGGCCACTAAATAGCTGGCAAGACAAATCAATCGCGTTGTAGAAGCAAAATTGGACTGAATCGTGCTGTCTCATCCCGTGCAAAAAATCGTAGGCAGCGTACTCGTGTGCTCCGCCACTAAATGTTCACCTCGAAATCCCAGCCGTCACCACCGCCGTTGCCGTTGGGATCTTCGTCTGCGCCACCGAACGTGTCCTGGTTTTTCCGGTCGTACCCCTTGGCCTTCGCGTGATGCCCGCCGCCGCCGCCGCCGCCCCCACCGCGCCGGTTGGGCGCGGAGCAAGCCCGGACGCCGTCGCCGGCGGCTACGGTCGACGGCGCGTGGTCCTTGATCCGCGCCGCCGTTTCCGCCACCGCCGGCGGCGCCCTTGCTGCCCTTCCTGCCCTGCTTCTTTGGCGCAGGCGGTGCCATTCGAAGATGCCCCCCCCCCAGTGGGAGACGACGGTTGCGACTGCCCGAGACAGTCGAAATAAATGGGGGGAACACAGTGATGAAAACAAGACGGGGGGGGGGGGGGGGGCGCGCGACAACCAACTTCGTCCACTTAAAGCCTGCTGTCTGCGGCCAGCGCGTGTTCGGTATCAAAAAAACAAAAAAAGAGGGCCCTCTGACCATGTCATCATATTCCAGCCACAGGCCCTTCGTCACAGCTGGATACTATTGGCCGTAGCGGCATCAGTCACGTACATACCCAACGACGGACGAGAGACACACATTTTGATCTATTCCGAAAATAACGTTGGCTGCGCGGGCGGGATGACCTGCGGAAGCTGATCCTGCTTCTGAGTGAGCTGCCTGGTTTTATGCACTTGCTGCTCACCTGGCTCGTCAACACCGCGGCAGCCGCGGCGTGAGACACGTCGGGCGAAGTTGCCCTCGCCTTTCTCACCCTGATCAGGCTCTGCGTTCGTGCCTCTGCACGGCACATCGGACAGGCACCGTTCGGTTGTCGCCCGAAAATGGGGAAAAAGAGAAGCGACCGTTACACTTCCAACGCCAGAACGTGGCAGCAAGATGAAGAATAAAGCGCGATGCTGCTAATAGAGTAGCAGTGTCGTCTGCATCACAACCAATCAATGAAGGGAAAACACAGCAGTTCCCTGCAGCCAATTGAGTTTCCAAACAGCGCATACATGAACAAATCGCTCTCAACACAAGGATCGCAACATCACACCCACCATCCACAAGTGCAAACGAAGCATGCACGAAATATCGCTCTCATCGGAACATCACACCCATCATCTACAACTACCACAAGAGCCGCAGGGCAGAGACCGCTCACCCGCCGTCGCGCTCTTGGGAGCCCGCACGCCCTTCGTCTTGGCCATCCACCGCCGCAGCCGGGGCACGAAGGGCTCCACTCCGAAGCTGCGCGAGGGCAGGGCGTCGAGGGGGAACCACTCCACCGCCGATATCTCCTTGCGCACCTGCGGCTCGAACGGGAACGTCTCGTCCACGCCCACGACAATGAACATGGTCGTCTGCTGCCCGTTCAGGTAGAGGGTGAGGAAATCCTTCTCGTTCGCGCCTCCTCGAGCGTCATAGCCCGTCTCTTCCTGCACCTGTTTTTTTTTTTTTTTCCCACACGCGTCAAGTGTTAGACTAGTACGGACAGAAGGTACTGGGCAGAGAGAACGGAAAGGTTTTTAGTGTGAAGACAACAAAAACACAAGCAACAGCGGTTAACAAAACAAAACAACACGCATTAGGGACTGAAATAAATCACGAAAGAAAACCCGACCGAATAACCCATACAACGACAACATATGAGGCGGAAATATCCGGGAAAAAGCTCCTCTGCTACTACTGCTACGACGTTTTCACCTCTCGAATGGCGGCGTCAATGGCCGGCTCCCCCTGGTTGATCTTCCCCTTCGGCAGCCCCCGGCTGTTGCCTTTCCAGCACTTGACGAGAACGACGTCGGTCATCGCGGCATTCAAAAGAATGCATCCTGTAGGTTCGGTTCGGGAGCAAACGTGTACGTAGCATTAAGTGTGCGACGGTAGGCTAAAAAAAAACATCGCACGCAAGGCGTTCAGCACGCACAACAACGCAGAAGCAGCAGCAGCAGCAGCAGCAGCAGCCCAAGTTGCCCTAATCACATGCTTCGGAGTTACACAACATCGCCAAATGACACCTACCCTCTCTTACGCTATTGCTACTCCTTCCGGTGGTGGCAACGACGATGACGCAAACATCAAGCTGGGGATTTCGCACCAAACAACGGTTCACAGAGCCGGTAATCTGTGTGACCTGGCCTAACCCGGGCTTTGGATATCCGCCCACGACATGCATCTCCGCTCAGACACGAAACCAACACGACGCCGGTCTTTTCCGACACACCACAAGCAGTCAGCAGTTACCTCTCAATACCTATGCATAGCACATGGCGCCTGCCTGCCTGCCTTTGCTTCACACACAATCGGCAAAAAAAGTAGACAATCCGTTCTCGCGTTAAAATCGGAAGGCAAGCGCCGCAGGAGGTGCCTCAGGGAGAGGAACCCTTGAGTGTGACCACGGATTGGAGATCCTACACCCCGCAGCAATGCTGTTAGCGCTGATCTAACGCAACGAGAAACAAAAAAAAGAATCACACAGGCAAGAGAAACCGCAAGCAGCAGTGGTGGATGGATATCCAACAACGGCAACACATGCCGCCCGTACCTGCGGTGGGGATCGTGCCCTTCCACGATCGGAAATACTCGAACAGCTCGTTGTACTTGCCGCTCAGAGGCCGCAACGCCTCGCAGTGTTCAAACATAAGCTTGGCGAACTCCTGCGGTGATATTTCACATCGAAACACGATAGAAGGACGGTCAAGCATCAACGACAGATCAGGCAGGCACTCAGGGCTCTGAGGCAAGAAAAAAGACGTCCGCGTGGATAGCAACCAACAGCAGTTGACTTGGGGGCGAGCTGCACAAAGAGAGCAACGCCTTGTGTCATTAGGAGGTTGTCGGGTATCGATGCCGAAGGGGGGAAAAAGGGCAGTGTCAGAAATGGCACATGAAGATTAATATTCACACTCGACACAGACAGAACCGGCGAGATTGCGTCCCAGCGCATCACCCGGCGGGTATGGCAATCAGCAGCAACAACAACCATTGTACAGATACAACAAGAAGACCCACCCCTGCCTCGCGATTACGCATGCACACGAGCACGAACAGGGGGGAGGTTGAATCTTCGAACACCGCCTTGGACATCAGCAGAAATAGGACCATTTCGGTCTAAAGAGCAGCGTTTGTCCGAGCACCAAAAGTTGCCCCAGTAATCGCCTCAAGGAAGGCCTGCTTATCATCATCTTCACCTTGAGCTTAAAATGCGGAAGGTGCTTGTGTGCGTCCGCGATAAAATCCTCGTAAAACCACCATGCTTGCTCCAGCTGGTGCGCGAAACAGGGCACGGGAAACGGAGACGGCAACGAAATATGGTACTGGTAAAAGACTTCCACGCGCCAAGTTTCGGGTACAAGACTGCAATATTTCGTACATGCAGTCCGGATGCTTACAAACTACCTAAAATCACTGAAAGACTACCCGTTGAAGACAGTAACCCTAGTTCAAGGCTTGCACGTTTCTCGTGCCCACTTCAAGAAGTTCACCCGTAACCTGCCTCCTCGCTGTATTTTTCGTCGTCGTGTTCACATACATATTCCACAGCAGCAGCCGTCGTGCATGTTGTTTATAGGGAGAGTCATCTCGGTTTATTTATTTGCTGCTTGGATGAGCGGTCGGTACTTTCGATTGTATGCATGTGTTCGCACGCTCATCTCTCCGGCTGAGTGAAAATATTCTCGCAACAAAACTTGCCAGTGGGAAAGCGCCAAGGCAAAGAGTACACACAACGACGAGGCGAATGGGCTGTCGTGTGGAAATCGTCTTCAAGATAAGGAGAGATAGCATTTCATCTCAAGGACCACAGGAGGAACATGAAAAAAAAAAACTTCACGCGTTGTGTTTAAGTTACTCTTTCAGGGTGACCTTGGGGCTGGTGCGTCCAAACGTCCAAACACACATGAAAGGCGGATATAGATTTGACACCCAGAGTAGATGGGACGAAGAAGACAAAATGAAAGTAGGATCACTTTTTAGTGTCACCTGCCCCTGGTTTAGTTTTAATGCTTACGCTACAATAAAGATGCAGTAACAGCTGTTGGCAACGGACATTAGAATACTCAGAAGTAGAGGTAAATGCACCGAGCGGAGACCGGAACGGTTTCTAACGTCAAGATAAAAAACAACATCCGTTGCCGTACCTGGAAAAAAAGGCGATCCGCCGAGCTAAGCTCAGCCTCTGGGAGGTTGAGCACGAATCGGACCTGTGGCGAATAAAACCGGGTGCATGCATGGCAGGGAAGGAGGCGCGCGAGCGCGTGGGGTTCGGTAAACAAGTTCTAGTGTTTATCCATGATGGTCAGTCGTCATCAAACACAGGCGACCTCCGTTCGCGATTTGGGTGATCTAAGAGCGACCGCCTGTGTAGATTTTTCACACCCTGGGACAATATTTTTCACTCTTTTTGTGTGTAGGGGGCGCGCGTCAAGTCTTTGGTCTGTGATACCGACCGACCGCTGAAGACGTACTGCTTGCTCTGTTCAGATAACGAGAGTTGTCTTGCCGCCCTCTCTCTCTCTCTCCCGTCGACAGCTCAACAGCAGTTTGCAAGGAGAGGTACAGACAGAATCCCTATCCGCCCGTCTCATCACAGCAACCCCCCGACAGAAGTCAGAGCGCGAGGAAAGCAGTGCCGATACGTAACACCGCCGCGGGAAGCACCAAAAGGCTATTTACAGTAGCGTCAGGCGATCCTGGGGTCAAAAACCAAAAGGCGCCGGCCACTACTATGCGGTCGGTTATTCAAGGCATCATTTATGGATCAGCGTGGTTGAAGTAACGGCTGTTTCTGTTCGGACCCCTTCGCAAAGAGAATAGAGATTAACACACATTTACATACCCCATTAATCAGGGCAGCCGTCTTCCAACGAAGCCGGCAGCTGGTGGAACATTAACATTCAGCGAGAAGAACGTAGCGTAAAACCACAGAACCCTGCCACTCGTATTCCCTGCCAGGCGGTACGCATACTAGTCTTACATGATATGCATACGGTCGGTGCCGAGGGTGCATCATAGAACGCGACAAATATTCTCCCTCATGAACAACCAGAGCGGGTCCGGTACGCATGTCTAATCCATTGACTCAACAGACGACGGTCACGTTGTCAACGAACCTAATGACGGAGAAACTAAATACATTTCGGGTGACTGACGGGTGACGCGCGTTTTTTTTTTTCCGCCTGCTGGTTTTGCCGCTGCTGCTGTGTTTATCGAGGCATGAGGTCTCGTTGAAGCACTTGTTTCTTTCACCTGCACGTCATCCAGGGCGTCCTCCAGCGTGGGCACGCACACCTTCGCCGCCACCTTCACCGGGCTGCGCGGGGGAAGCTGCTCCTTCGGCGGCGGCGGCGGCGGCGGCTGCTGCTGCTGTTCGGCTTGAAGCAGCTCGCAGGAGCGCGCCGGCACCGCTATCGAAGCCGAAGCTGATCGCGCTTGCCGCTGCTGCTGCTGTAGCAAGGGGGTCCCCAATTTTTCATCGCGCACGTCGGCAAGACAATGTTGTAGAATTACAAGCAAGCAAGCAAGCAAGCAAGCAAGCACGGGGCGTGATTGAGGCATGACGGAGACACATGTGTTCCTCGGGGGACCGGGGCATGTTTTTGGGGGCATCTTGTGTTGCGTATGTGGGAACAAAAAAAAGCCAGCAGCTGAGGGGATGCACCATGCGCCAAGCAATGCTGCAACCAAACACAGCGGCAAGCCTCCCGTGTGATGCGACCTGCGCGGTCGGGTTGGACGGTGGGCGGTGGGGGAAGTGCGCCGCAACAGCGCGGAGCGGGAACTGCGGGCTCGCTGACTTTATAATCGGACAATCATCAGCAGCGGCACCCAGAATGGGCGGGGTGTCTCAATTTATTGTTTCGCAATCAATCAACCGGAGTGGGCGGAGCCCCGGCGCACCTGGTGGCTCTGACCCACCGCTGAAGCGCCCTTCTTTCTTCGAACGGTGGCCTTGCTATGCCCGCCTCCTCCTCCTCCTCCTCCTACTGCCCCCGCCACCGGTGACGGCTGCTTGTAGGCTTCATCCATATAAACGGGGTGCTGATGAGGAGCCAGCTTGACACACTTGCTCTTGTTCGTCTCCTGTCTCCTCCCTCTCCTCCCTCTCCTCCCCCCCACACAAACTCGATCTTCTCTCTCTCCTTCCCGTCCTCTCTCTGCCCCTCTCTCTCTCTCTCTCTCTCTCTCTCTCTCTCTCTCTCTCTCTCTCTCTCTCTTCGTTTTCTTCCTTGTTCTCTTGGCCTCTCTTTCTCCTACCCTCGAAGGCTCACACGTAATATCTATGAGCTTGTTGGGGAGGGTGCAGCGCCCGGGAGCAGATCGATGGAGGCATAATCACAGGGGGGGATGAGTTGCAATCCTCCCCGGGAACCGTTCCAGGACGGTTCCATGGATTGTTCCGCACGGCAGCCGGGGTAGTGTTGTAGGTATAAGAGAGATTTGAGCACCACTCGGCCTCGCACATCAACTGGATATGATTATGTCTATTCATATCTATGCATCATCATTGCAGCGGCAGTCTGAGCAACACTGATGATCCCCACCGATATAAATAGAGAGGTGCTTGTGGAAAGTCTGACGGTTATAGATTTCGGCGTCTGTAGGGAACAATCGCTTCAAACCATGCCACCACCCACGAGCAACACTCTTGCAAGTCCAGGCAAGAAAGACTCTTCGACGTTTGTCTACCGACAGCGGAGCACCCTGGGGACGCCTTTCCCAGCCGATCAAAAAGACAAAGAAGGAACTCATTACATTTAACCCCACCCCTTCACCCCCCCCCAGTGTTGGCCATCGGGGTTGGGTTTTCGTCGCTGCTTGGCAGTGATGTTGTAAAACAAGCCGATTCACTTCGTGAGCTCGGCAACCAGGTTACCGCCTTTTTTTTTTTGCCTTTTTTTTTTTTTGCGGTAACGATGAATGGTGGTCTAGTAGATTATATTGTGTGGGGTCGAGAACCCTCACTCCGCGCAAAGGGGATAATCGCACGTTGTGTTAAATTGGTCAAACACCCTCGAGGCAGTTACACAGAGCTTACAACTGTCTCTGGAAGTTAAAGCACCAGAAAATAAATTAAGTCGTACGCAGCTGTCGTCCGTACGCAAGGAAGTAACCACAAGATGCCGACCACCCTTAGCAGGATGCAGCGCACCCTTCATGCGACTCGCCGAATACCTCACGGCGCTTTGCGCTTGGTGATGTGAGAGCCTGGTTCGGTGAGAACCCGGCGTGCTCCGTCCCGGCTTTGTAGGGATGCGAGGTCAATGGTCTCACGACTACGGCATGGACGACTATGAGTACACCCCCCCCCCCCTTCACAAGAGAGGCAAGACCACCCTACGGACAACAGGCGTGCATATATTATATTTTGTGACGGGAAAGGATCCATGCGGACATATGTAAAGCGCAGGAAAAACCGATCCGTAGAAACGCTCCGAGAACCATGGGGCACTCGGGAGACCACTGATGGGTACACGGATCGCAAACGAATCCATTGCTGGCTTGAGTGGGCAGACCACTCTCCTCCTGGCACCCACACTCTTTCTGCTTGCCACAAAATACCAACAATGGAGAAAACCGGCCTGCCCTTCTGCAGTGGGATAAACCCCCCGACAGAATTCTGCCAGATCAAGAGTTTCTGCGTCAAATCGGAACCCGAAACATCGCTGGTGGTGTCGCTGCCGATGGTGGCAACGGTGGTCCACCACAAAAGGATCCGTCAACGGTTACCCACTCTTTGTGGTAGTGTGTGAGCGAACCTCCCCCCGTGCGCGCCCCTGCCCCCGCCCCACAAGCAGCCTGAGTCTAGGCAGGTCAGGCAGACCTGAAGACACAGCAGAGACATTGTAAAATAGTGGTGACAGGTGCCTTCGCTTTCGAACATTCGAGACTCGTTCTTGACGAGAGCGGGTATACTATTGCAGATAATAATACTTCTATTGAACACCTGTGGTAGATAGCCCGCCGAAGCCGTCACCAGCCCAGCATCTTCGCACGAAGGTCCGAACAAGAAGAAAACAGGCATCAGAACAATGAGCAACAGAAGAGAAGGGAACGCCGTCCGTGTGGGACATTGCTACAACGCGAAACAAGTCGGAAATAAGATTATTATACGCTCATTCAACGCAAAGCCTCCCTTTCCAACAAGGACTACGACCCTCACACACGACTCGCCAACCCCGTGCCGTCCACAGCAACAACACCAAGCCGCTGATGTGGCCAGCAAAAGACAAACCGCCGCGCGCCCATCCCAGGTCGAGACAAGGTCGCGTTGCACCACCGATGATCAACCTCAACCAAGTCCTACAACCCTTAACCTGGGGTCTCATCCCGCCGACACGACGCGCATTTCGTGTTCGGTGGTGACGAAAAACATGATGACCCCGTCGAAGCAGCACTCGTACAGCTCGTCGCTCGCAAGGCCGCGGCCCTGGTGCACGCTGCGTACGTCCTGCACTAGCACCTGACGTTTTACATCCACATTCATTCGAGGAAAAAAAACGGCACGGAGGGAGGGAGGACAAGTGGGTGGTTGTTCTCGGTTTCGCGTGAGAAAAATCGCGCAAGAAACAACTACGTAAGAAAATATTATCATCGTGGCATTCATCAAGGAATGAGTCATCCTTGACTTTTTGCAGTTCTTGGGGATTTCATAACTGTGTGTATGTGCATCGTTTGGTAAATACTTGGTCGTTTGACTACTCTGTCTTTGGTCCCCCTCTCTCCCTCCAGGGGCGAGCTTTACAGTCGTAAAGTCTTCGCCTTTTCTCACATCTCTTTCAGGGACAAATCTGAGGTTACACATCGCAATTTTTTTTTTTGTGGAAAGCCTGCGCCTTTTCTCACACCCTTTCAGGCATACATCCTAGAACACACAATCGCAAAAAAGAAAAAAAAATGCGCACCTCGCTGACGGCGGCCTTGAAAGATTCGATATCTCCGTAGAACTTGCTCTTGCTCTTTCGCGCCTCCTCCCCGACGCACTTGGACAGCCCCTCGCACGCCTCCTCCGTGAAGACGACCCTCCGGAGACACGGGTCGTCCTCCACCCACTCGGGAACGCGCATGTTTCGCGGGACGTCGTGCGGGACTACCGGCTTGATGTCTATGATCTGCGGGCCCCCCCCGAGACACACGATTCATGCGAAGAGGTTGGGTGGCTGGTACGCGAGAGGTGAACTAACCATCGTTGTGTGCTTTGTGATGACCTGTTGTGTCGGAAGCAAGCGAAAGCTTGTGTGCAACAAAAACAAGGGGTGTGTTCGGGGAATGCAAGGATACGACTAAAAAAAATAGGTGTTTGTGTGCGGGGAGGCGAAAAATGTTATTCGAGCGAAGCGAGATTTCTAAGCTTGCCTGAGAAGACAGCGCAATATAGGCCCCATGCAGAAAAAAGAGTTTGTACAGTTTGTTCGCTTAATCTAGGTTTTAGAGCACATGACTTGATTTTAGACTACAGGGGGTCAGCAGATGCCCTCTTTTTTTTTCGGAGCACACTTTCAGCGGATTGCAGCAGAGAACACACGCACTGCGGGCGACACCACACAGCAGACAACACACGCACAGCAGACAGCGTACGCATAACAGGCGACACAAACGCACAGCGGGCGACAGCATCTGGGCTCGATGCCGCTGGACTCTCTGTGGTGTGATGAGGCTATGTTTTGCTCTGTCGCGCATGTTTTTTTTTTACCGCCGCGTGCAACTGCCAGCAATGTGAGCACAGCACCACATTAGTTCTCGAAACCTAGGACGCCGATCGCCATCGTACCACTTCGAGCGTGTGCTCCATTGCGGTGTCTCTGGGCGTGATAGTTGTGTTGGGCATGGGTGCTGCATGTGGCGAGAGCATCGTGGCGATGTGAAATCCGGTTTGGCTTTTTCGCCTGGCGATGCGGCCCGATTGCCCGGGCCAAGAAAAACGATTTGGATTCCACGCCGCCACGAAGGTCTTCCCACACACAGCACCCATGCCTAACACAACTGTCACGCCCCGAGATATCGCAATGGAGCACACGCTTGAAGTGGTGTCATGACGATTGGTGCGCTAGGTGACAAGAACTGACTTGTGTCCTGCTGTTTCGCTGGCAGTTGGAGAAACACCGAACAAAAAGAGAGGGAACAGGGAGTTCAGCCCTAGTTTGCGGGGGGTATGATGACCACGAAAGCAGGATGTGAACGGGGGGGGGGTAACCGGTAGGTGAAAGTTATCGTTACCACAGCTCTCACAACCAGCACAGCAGGTAGTTGATATGTGCGTGGTGTTTGCACTCTGTTTCCGCCCGTGGACGCACACGTCTGCTGACAATTTCATCTATATCAGCTGTCGCTCGTTGTAGCGACAGCTAGGATATCTTTGGCCCAGGGGCGACGGGCGTGTTGGGGGGGGGGGGGGACTCCGGGTTTCCACATGATCGGGAAGGGATCGCAAACGAAGGCTGGTTGATAGGGTGGGAACGGTTGACAACGTCGTCAGGAATGCCAAGCATGCTGCAAGGGAAACGACTCTCACGCCCAGCTTGCAAAATGTACCACATCGTCCCCGGCATGATGGCATCGTCACAAAAAAAAACTTCGAGGATCGAAAATAATAGGGGATACAATACAACAGGGGTGGAAGGACGAATGACCACTCCAAAACACGGGAGGTCGTTCGGGTCGGCCTTCGAGAGTAGACGGAGCAAGCAAAGCTAAGGAGGGAGGGACGTACCGGTGTGCCATCGACCAGGTCGACGCCGCTGACGGTGATGCTGTTGGTCTTCAAGTCAACCCCGTCTAGCTAAAGACAAGGCCCGTTGACAAGACCGATAGACCCCCGATCGAGCAGTTCCGAGAGAACGCGAAGTCGGTGGAGGGAGACCGGAGGAAAGCAACGGGACCCATGGGATGATCAGATCAAATGGGGTTGACGGTAAACCGTCAAACGACACGGGTTGTAAGACGGCAATAGTCGCACATGGAACGCAGAACGTGGGGTGTGGGAGGCGAAGCAAGATCCCCTCCCAAAGTGGTCGGACGACATGATGATGCACGATACCCGAGCAATCCGTAGTAAAAAAAGTGGCGGCACACAGCGAAGTGTTGAGGGGTCGAAGCGACAAAAGCAGCGGCCACATCGATAGGCACACACACGCGCTCGGGGAGGCGTGTGCACGCCAGCTGCAGCAATTGAAACATTTGGCGTGATAGTTTCGGGCAAGTAAATGGTCGTACTCATTCATGGGCGCGACGGCATCAGAACAAGTCTAGGGGGGGCTGTCTACTTTCGTCGATCCTGCCGACATGCTGTCGCTGGCTGGGGACCATACCCCTGTTTCGTCTGGCTAACGGTTTTTGTACGCTCCGTTGGCATCCGGTTTGTCCACGTTGTTGTCGGCATGTCACAGGTAACTGTCGTAAATACCACAACGCCGCACACCAGGGAACTGTTCTTCTAATCTCAGGGCGTACATAAAAAATAATATTTGAATGGGAAAAGTTGAGAAACAATAGTTCAGACTACTGGGTCAAGAGTGGAGGACTTGCACTTATCGTACTCGAATCCTGCTGTTTTCTACCTCTCTATACAAGATAACGTCAAAAGCTTCAGCGCATGATCAGGAGTGAAGGGCGCGCAATCTCGTGTTCGTTTCCCTCCCCACCCTACCCCCCTCGCACGAAAAAACACTAAATGGCGCCATCGGGCGAGCGGCTGCCATGCCAAGGCATGCCGCTTTTCGCTGCTGCCAGACACCCACCTTGACCATCGTCAGGCCCAAGGGGTTCGGCCGATGTGGGCTCCGCGTCCCCAGGACACCGATCCTCTTGCCCAGGCGAGGAGGGCTGCGCACGAAGGAGGCGGAGAGGAAGTGGCGCAAGGAGGGGAAAGGGGGCGAAATGGGGAAGACCGAGGGAACGCGCTTAGCGTTCATCACGCTCGGTTATCACACCAGCGGCGTGGGAGGCGCACAAGGTATAGGTCATGCCCTCGCGTTTAAGAGCCGAACCACTGGGCCATTGAGCGAGTATGTATTTCAGGGCTGTCAAGGTATATGTAAGGGAGATACTCGACGATCAGGCACGGCAATAGCCTGACATTTCGAGGAGTGAGACTAGCACCCGGGGGGAACGTCGATCAAGGCTGACGGTAGCAGCCCTGACCCACTCTCACTACCGCAGACCCCCCATGGCAAGAGCCGCCACGTTTTCTCTCAATTTTCCACCCTGCGGAAAACACTCACCAAACTTTGGTCAGGAACGTTTGCCTGAGCTTGTGCCTCGGCCGCCGGTACTCCCTGGCTCCGCCGCCCCACCTTTCCAACTGTCCCTTCACCCTCACGCCCTCCGTCGAACCCGTCGCCTTCGCCGGTGCCACTTTCCCTTCCCCCTGCGCCCCTTCCTCCCCCGCTGCGGACGCCGCCACCGCCGCCGCCGGTCTTTCCTCCGCAACCCCGTTGACCGTGGCGTTGGTGTTGTCGTGGAAGACGAACACGAGCCAGATGTGGGAAAAGTCCGTCATTCCTATCAGCGCGGGGTAGCCCACGATCCCCCGGTCCAGCGTTACCTGTGCCGAGAGGCGCGCCAGCGGCAGGGGGTGGGGGTGGGGGTGGGGGAAGGAGGGTGTACTCATAGTCGTGCATAACGTAGTCGTTAGACCATTGACCTCGCATCCCTACAAAGCCGGGACGGAGCACGCCGGGTTCTCACCGGGCCAGGCTCTCACATCACCAAGCGCGAAGGGGGGGGGGGGGGGAGTTGGCGCGCTCTTCGTAGGAGACGTGTTGCTTGTAGAGGTACGGTCGGTTGAGGACGCCAATTTGGGGACAAAATAGACCGGGGAGCACAAATACATAAACGCATGGTGGGGGGTCAAGCGACGCATGGCGGTGGGGAGGGGGGGGGTGGGGCTCTTCGTTCAACGTGGCAGCAGACATTGTACCATCAAGCAGCAGTTGTTTCCTTCCGCAGCCACAAAATGCCGACGTTTGCGCTCCTCCCGCGGACGGTTAGCGGTAGAAAGTAAAAACAAGCAATCGAGCGCAGCGACCAAGACCCCACCAAGATACAAACACAGCGGTCGTGAAACTACCGAGTCCACCCACGCGGGCGAGACCCACAAACCGGCGAGTGACCCATGTGGCCGCGCGTTCCCAGATAGCCTAGCCCCTAGCAAACGTCGATCCGCGGTGGTAATAGGGTCTCGGCGGGAAAATTCAGCAGCATGAACTGCTCTGCAGCCCCCCCCCTCCCCCCCCCCCGGGGATTGGAATGTTGCACGTGGGACGCTGTTCAGCCGACTTGCCTTTCCCCTCGAAAGGGGCGTTATGCTCCCCTGCCTAGGCGTTCCTCTTCGATCTCTGAACGGGGTGCTGCCGACGGCGTGACCGTTTGACGGCGAGAAACGACAAGCAAAGAAAGAGAGAGTAAGAGAGAGTAAGAGAGAGAAAGAGAGAGAGTTGGGGGGGGGGGGGGGCAAAAAAAAAAAAAAAAAAAACCCCAACCAAAGTTTTTTCCAAAATCAAGGCGGGACA